TAAATGTTTCCTATAATGGACACGATTTGATTTTGAAATTTCCTCTTAGTTTAGTGTGAAAATATTTTTTTGAAATGTTTATTGATGCCTATATAAAATATGATAAATGGACTTTTATCCCCTGAAATGAAAAACAAACCGTCGAGAAAATCGCAAATTTATTCAGCTTTCAAACGATCCAAACCCCATTAGAATCGCACAAGTAGTTATGGAGAAACAACAAAGAATGTTGACAAAGGTGTATTTTGAGATATCGGACTTTGAAGTTGAGGATACTTCCCCCCCCCCTTTTTATTAGAATTCTGATCTCTGTGTCAATCTTGATGCATTCTATGGTATTCACATGGTATTTTGAAGTGTAGCTGGTACTCCCCCCCCCCCTTTTGCAAGGTAGCAATGGCAATAACTGTACGTGATTGCAGAAGTACCCTGTGCCATCACAGGCTTCGCAGTGGCTCGGAGGCATTTCATACGAATAAACAACTGCTGCACCTGTGATTGAGATGTATTTCTCATCACTTTATGTTTATTACTTACAGGAATAACATCTATCATTAGTAGTGTCCTCTTAGTGTGTGATGAGAGCGAATCACACAGTATATATCGGCGCGGCTGTGGGATGATGCCTGGCTCAAGGTCATGACGAGGCAGCGCAGCCTCTTGCGGATGTCAGCTGATTCACAAGCAGAGTTGCCAGCTAGCTACCAGAGAATACCAAATAAATCGGGAAAAAAAAATCCAGGAAAACAAATTTGTCGAGTATATTAGCTCGGACGCGACAAAGTAAACATCGGTGCCGGTGGGGGGGGGGGGAGTCAGAGATTTAGTCATAACCTTTATTTTTACATATTTAGTAAATATTACGTCACGAGATTGTCAAAACCTACTAGATTACAGGGGATTTTTTTTTACGAGTATTTTTAAAAATATTCGTCGAAAATTCATTCTGACGGCCCCCTTATCCTTTGTTGAACTTTACTTCAGAATTAAAGTCATTTCTCTAGTTGTTGAAATAAGCTTAGTCTCTTTGCGCCGGGTAATTAACATTTATATAGTACATATAACATTTATTAAATACAGCAAGTAAACACGCACAATTAAAACATGTCACAAGACGGACATGAAGTAAGTGAACATTGAACACGTCACAGGACGGATAAACACTTCACAATTATTAAAAACAAACGAACAGAACTAACAAGGCCTGAAGAAAACAACAAACCCCCAGCCACTTATACCCGTATTGTTACTAAGTAATTACTCTGATAGAAAAAAAACTTATAATGCTATAATACTAAACTTGGGCGTCTCGGAGATCACGTGGGTGGATCACGCGCAGAGCCAAAAGAACACCGACTGAAAAACGAAAAAAAAGAATCCCTGCGACCTCCTCCACCTTTTTTTCTTCTTCTTTCTGTCTTTCTTTTTTTTTTTCTTCTTACTTTTGTTGGATTCTGCGGCTATCAACCAGCGGCATCTGGCCAAGGTTATTATAGGCCTACTCCAGTTACAAAACCAACGAAAGGGACGGCGCTGAGCAATAACATTACCCACCCGAAGAGAGTAGAGAGGGTATGTGGATTCGACAGCGATGCCATCTATTGAAGGTGGAAGTCAGCAGGAGAACGGCAAATCAGTGCAGGGTACGCGCTTACATACGGGAAAAGCTAGATCAGGTGCAACTCAAAGAGGTGTCTGATTCTATTTTGGGGGGGGAAAGTACATGGGGTTTATTTTGATATGGTCGATCATTTTAGGCTCGTCAGTTTTCGAAAAGGATGGAAAATGATTAGTGGTTATATTTTCACTGAATAATTCTCAAAATAAACGCCATGACACCTCTAGTTGCTACTGATCTAGCCTTTCCCCCTTTAAACATACTGAGGCGTACCACAGATTAAACAAATATGCGAATCATCAAAAGCTAATTACAGAAATAAATCAACGGCTAAGACAAGCAAAACAAATAAAAGAGAAAACAAATAAATGTGCGAATAGACGAGGAAAATAGATGTACGCGTGCGCAAGCAAGTAAAACAGATGTGAAGAGAATAAACACATCTCGAGCTCTTATCTACTACAACATGGGGGTAACTCAGTAAGGCATTTTGGTGATTTAAGTGGAAACGATATTAACAAATAGCGCGCGCGTGTGTGACGCACATGTCCAAGATAACCTGATTAGATAAACAGTAAAATGTAGTGTGTGTGTGCATATATGTGTATGTGTATATATATATATATATATATATATATATATATATATATATATATATATTTATTTATTTATTTATTTATTTATTTATTTACTTATTTATTTATTATTTATTCATATTTATATTTATATATATATATGTATATTTTTTTATAGAAGCAAATGCCTCATGTATGAGAAAATTTGGATTATCACAATAATCACACAATAGTTCATATCCTTCAATGAAGGACTTTTTTCTGCTGCTCATACGACGAACGTGCAAATGAGCGACGGATCAGTGGTGTAAAATACTTCGTTTCAGTTTATCACTTTAATTTTATTTAACAATTACCAATTCTAAAGTCTCATACACGGAACGCGAACGAGGTAGCAGTTTCATCTAGTATGTTGCGCCGTGAACCAGTGAGTGAGATATTCATACCTGTAAGTCTGTTCCAGGCCTTAGTTAACAATCCTTGTCCCTCGCGTAATCTGTGACACATTAGTCAAGAAGATAATATCGAATTTTATCTTGATTTGGATTCTCTCTCTCTCTCTCTCTCTCTCTCTCTCTCTCTCTCTCTCTCTCTCTCTCTCTCTCTCTCTCTCTCTCTCTCTCTCTTTCTCTCTCTCGTTTTTTTTCTCTCTCTTTCTGTCGTTCTCTCTCTCTCTCTCTCTCTCTCTCTCTCTCTCTCTCTCTCTTCTCTCTCTCTCTCTCTCTCTCTCTCTCTCTGTCGTTTTTTTACTCTCCGTCGCTCTCTCTCTCTCTCTCTCTCTCTCTCTCTCTCTCTCTCTCTCTCTCTCTCTCTCTCTCTCTCTCTCTAATAAGCGATTTTTATTTGATTTTTGTTTTATTTTATTATCATTATTATTTTTTTATTATTATTTTTTTTTTTTTTTTTTTTTTTTTGATTGCTGGAAACAAAAGCAAACAAGTGTCAAATGAGGTAGGCAGTTCCAGGGCAGATCGATAAGTATAAATGGCATAAGAGGATGGATGACGAAGGGGAAGTAAAACTAGACAGAGGAAAGATGGGGATGAGATGGGTGACGAGTAAAATGATAAAAAGAATAAAGTGGGTAAATAAAAGCATCCCGGGGGGAGTGAATTCTCGGACAAAGAGAAAATAGTAAACAAATAAACAAACACGCATATACATATATTCACAGGTAAGTAAATAGAGGGGATAGCCAAGGTAAACAAGTTAATGAACGGAGCAATGTCTATGCCTGTATCCATTGGAGACGACAAGCAAAGTGCAGTGTGCTGAGGAATTTATAGTAACGAGACTGAGGAGTTAAGACGAAACTAACATAAAATTATTAAGTAAGTGACGAGTTGTATAAATACATACACATACGTATATAGAAACTGACTGATGTTACGTATTCACTTCCAAGCAAACCGTACCGGTATGAATCGTGAACAGAATTATTGCCAGATATTCTAGTAGATGATTTTATATATATATA